GGAATAGTTCTCCTCCTCTGATGCTCTTGTCCAGCTCCTTAGAGCCTCCTGGGTATTCATTATAGAAAATTGTATGGGTGAACAAGCCACAGGTCTGCCGAGGCAACACCTAAAACACAAAAGCAAATACAACAGTTGTTCGGAGATTATTTGTACGGGCTCTCCCACATTCACTGCTTTTTTTTTTTTTTTAAATGGCATTTACTAGTAGTGTTTCATTGATCTGCGACACGAAGCTCGGTCTGCTTGTTAAACTAAAGAAATCAATCATGACAATTTTGGTCAATATTGAACTTGAATTATTTTAAAATGATTACTCGTCGACTCTGAAAACTCACAACACGTATTGGACAAAATGAGCGGAACATGTGTTGGATGTTTAAATATTTAAGACAGGATTGCAACTACTAGTCAATTAATTGATTCAGTTTTTTCTTTTTTTAATAATTGACCCATTTTAATGATTATCCTCTGCTCTCCATTATGGAGACTTTGTTTTTGCCGACTGATTTGCATTTTCTTCATTTTATTTACATTTTGACCAATTAAACCGGACTAAAATTCCATTTAACTCAAATTTCTGATACAAATGAATTTGGCTCTAATTGATTAGACATTTTCACCTGTTTGTTTACAAATAAAACAGGTTTTTTATAGTGATTTTTTTTTAATCAGTATTTTGCTACGTCTACCTAACTGTGTCCAATTTGACGCCGTCTAACTCTTTTTTTACCCCGTTTTAACCTGCAGGTGTCACAGCGTTTAAAATTGTTCATTGTACACTTTTGAAGATTTAACTTTTCAGTCGCTCCGTGTTCGAACTTCAGTTGGTTAAGGAGATTCAGAGCAGTGAACTCAGTTTATTGTAAATTTCCAGACTATAAGCCACTATAATAAAACCCCCTCAACTTCCCTGTTTCTGTTGAATTCTGCTGCAGACAAGCACAAAGTGAAGGGAGTTAGCTTAGAGTTAAGTCTCCCCTGTGCATTTCAACTACAGTCATGGCGCTGAAGCGGGAAAGAGCTAACGTTTAACGAGCCGTGTTACAGGCACTGTTCGGAAAAAAGCATTTATTTAATTAAAAGTAAAAAAAAAAAAATCTTTCTGTGTATAAATATCCCATGTTTCAGCTTATCGAGATTTATTTTTAAATGTAGTGGACGGCTTATATTCAGGTGAGCTGCCTTAGTTCGTTTCATCTATATTTTCACTGACGACATACAGGCGATATTAGCATATGCTTGCATAGCTTAAAATGTCTAAATGATTTCCATGATCTTTTTTTTTTTTTGCTTTTTTGCAGTTGCTTCATTTTGGTGTTTTTTTTTAATTGGAGACAAAATCTAAATCAGATTATGTGTACAGCCCTCACCGGCTGTTGTCAGTGTAGAGAAAGGGTCCCATGAGACTACGGTCAAAAGAGACAGTCAGACCTTAATTCCATTATGGATGAATCCACGACGGTATCGCGCCGGTCTCAGATGAGGGTATTCCTCTGTGCTGGTCACCTTAATGCCCCACACAGACTTCCAGGCTTCATAGAGCTGGCTGTGGACTGGGTAGACGCCCGAATGGTGAGGAGCCACTGCATAACCCATATCTGTGGGAATACCATGTTCCTGGGAAGAAGGAGCGAAACAATAAGGAAACAAAATAAGGAGAGGAGGAGGAGGAGGCAGCAAAACAATTGTTTCCTTTAATATTTGATGACCGAAGAAAACGTTTCCAACGCATCGTTGACATGTGTCGATGCTCACCTGAGCAAAGATCTTGTTTAGCCTCATCTGCTCACCCAGGACACTGACATTGTGGAATAGGTGAGGTTGCATGTGGCTCCACATGTGAGGGAACCACCAGAAGTCCATTCTGTGTTGCAGTAGCATGTCATCTCCCTGATCTTCCTCGTCAGTACCTTAATACACAGACACAAACATCATTTATGTGACCGTTTAACATCAATTCCAATCAGTGACGCACCGTCAAGCCCAGCAAAGCCTTCTCTGCTGGTCTACAGTCACTTTGGCGATTTGATCGGATGATCCAAGAATTCAAATCTAGCCGACTGCATCTGGCAATTTGCAAGCGTAGTCGAGCAGACATTCTCGCAGTGCCCGCAGTGAATTAAAACGTATGCCATAAATACGACAGGACAGACTGGATTTCCAGCATTAGCATGGATGTTAATTAACCCTTTGATGCATGACCCATGATATACTGAGTTAAAAAAAATGTTACTAAGTGTTTTTATGTGTTTTTAGACATAAAAATAAGAACTGATTTGGTTCTGTTTTTATACATCAAATTTTCTCTTTGAATGTTAACACAATTATTCTGCAGTTGCAAAGGCTGACCACTGTATGGCAGTGTTGGGTGATTCTCAGGCATCCACTGTAGAGGCTTATATGCAACACTGCCATCAAAACCTATTCTTATCATAGAAAATTACATTTTAATAGTTGTCCACTGTAGTGACCGTCATGCACGAAAGGGTTAAAAAGTGCTTGCTGTTGGAACTGCAACACACAGATAATCAGTGCAACAGAGTAACTGAGTTCGACTTAAGGAAAGACAGGAGGATGGACTATTGTGTGCAAATAATCAGAAGTTTTGAGGAGCAAAATGCATTTTGTCTTTGCATTAGTTACACGTGAAGAACTGCAGGTTTTAGTCGAGGTGACAACTTATCCTGTGTCCTAGCCTTTTTGCCATATTAGTAAGCTGCTATGCACTGCCTATTAACTACACAAGCCAAAGGTGTCTCTGGCTTGAGTACGTAATCATTTTGGCCATGCACTTGTAAAGGTATGCAACCACCTCAGGGTCTGAGGGCACATTCCACACAGAGGATGGCCATTTTAGCTGAACTCTGTCCAGACACGAAATATCCGTAGGAGACAGGCTACAGAGAAAGGTACTGTTTAAAGCTTCAACTGTTGCATTTCACGTAAAGTCAAGTTGCACTGTTGGGCTTAGGTATCGGAAAAAATTTCCATCAATATCAGGCCAATACTGAGTATAGGATCGAGCCATCACTAGTTTATTTTATGTTGAAAAATATTGACATATGATTTTTAACCCGACTGACCAGCCTTTCTGATACTTTTATCAGGTTTTACACACCAGATCTATCTGGTCTCTGGAGCCTTGTTTAAATAGAACTTCAGGACCAATAATGACGTTACAATAAGGATACTGGGTCAATATGTAATCTCTGGTTCTTCTAACAGATGACTCACAGCAGTCCCAAGAAAAAAAAAGGAAAATAGTCTCATTTGTATATGTGTTTGTTGGTGTTAGCCTCCTAGCTAGTTATTTCCTAAAGTTAGCAACCCTATCCCTTCCTTACATTTGTAATAATAAAGGATGGGGAAAAAGACGGTAACGGTAAAAACAACAAGTGCACAGAATTACCATTTACAACAATGACTGAGCATAAAAGATCTTTTACATACCTGTATGATAAAACTTTCCTGAAAATCCAAGGTTGAAAGTGAAATTTGGGACCAAAGCTCTCAGTTTGCTCTGAATGTTGAGCAACGCCTTTAAAAAGAACACAAGAAGAACCGCACATTAAAAACATCCAGCTGTGAGGTGTAAGTAAACTTTGATTAACTGCCATAGTGTATAACAAGACCCCCACTTTAAGTCGATATATAATTAGGATAATTATTTAGTGTATAACAAGACCCCCACTTTAAGTTGATATATAATTAGAATAATTATTTGTTTCTTCAGGGTAGCTATGCAACAACCCCTTCACAGAAGTCAATGTCTTCAAATTATGCAAGAAAATAAGCCTCCATGCATGATATTTATTTCAAGTCTTCCTCTGCTAGAAGTGATGGGCAGAACTTCAGGGTACCATTACCCTAATGCTATCATGCTGGGATTGGTGCTAGACCAGATTTCCGACCAAAAACTTTTTGTCATTGTTTTTATTTTATTTATCAAACGATTTGTTAGCCTTGGGAGATACTAAAGATGCACACAGCCTTCATGCAGCTGCTGTACCATTGCTGCAAGAAGAGGAAAACGACACAGTGTCAGACATATATATGATTATTATTATCAGAAAAAAACCTGTTACCAGAAAATTTGGTACATTTAAAAAAAGCTAATAATGTTAATATTTATTTAAAACACATGAATATATATGAACATACACATATATAAACATATATATAAACATATATATTTATATACATATATAAACATATATATTTATATACATATATAAACATATATATTTATATACATATATATAAACATATATATATGTTTAAATTTTTTTATTTTTTTTTAAACAATAAATAAATAAATAAAACAATAAATCGAGGCTCTGGTACCCAATTTGGGGAAGGATAAACAAAACCTAAAATCCAATCCAAAGCTACTAACGCGACAAAAACAATAATTTTATTTGTTGGTGTCTATTGTTATTGTCGATTAATGGCACAACAAAAACAACAATTACATTTGTTGGTGACTATTTTAATCGTCAACTTTTTTCGACAATGTCAACAAATCGTTCGCACCTTTACTTTATGCTCAGTCTTTTTCCTAGATGTTCATGTTAGATGTTGGCAAATTTATGTTCTTTCTTTTTTTTAGTCTTTTCTTTTTGAGGAAGCTGCTATACATCACATGAAAAATACAGTTGATAGGTAGATAGATTAGATAAATAGATCTCTATTACTACCACAGGACTTCCCTTTGGGAAAATAAAAAAAAAATAATAGACTTAATTAATAGATAAGGTGTTATAAAAGCTCACTGGATTAAAAAAAAGACACAGCAATATTTAAATTTTTAGTTTAGTTTGGGGGAACTTTAAAAATGTTCAAACTTTAGTAAAATGGACAAAATGTATATAGACAGCATCTCTCTCCAACTGGGTGTTATTTATTTTAAGTTATTATATAGTAACTTAAGCATAATATACGCATACAGTACATATATACAAAATTTACATTTCTTTAGAAGAATTTTATTCAAACTTTAGTAAAATGGACGTGGGTTTTTTTTTTTTTTGCCTTACAAAAAATTGCTTAAAATTAAAGCTATTAGTTCGTAAAATTATATTGCACTGTATTTCCAAATGACAATTCAAACATTTACTACAACGACAGGGCGAAGCTGACAATTCAAACATTTACTACAACGACGGGGACAACAAAGCCACTTGTATTATGTAGATAATACATTGTAAATACAATCGTAAATATTGGAATATGAACGTTTATTATCATTTCATTACAAAAGATTGTAAATACAATCGTAAATATTGGAACATAAACGTTTATTATCATTTCATTAAGAAATGGTCTTACTTACCTCTACATCTGACACCTTCATACGAGTTCCTTCCTTGCCAACAAATATATCATCCACATCCACCAAGACGTGGCGGTCCAAAGACAAACACAGTCTCTTCCCCGTCAGATATGCAATGGCGTCTACAAATATGAGCTTGTGAAGCCAATAGTTGAGGTTGTTACCAAAGAGCACTCTTTGAATACCGTCATAGAGGCCAAGGTCCTGGACTACTGTTGCGTGAAGAGCCCGCAGGTGCGTAGGTCCAAAGTGTGCCAGTGCCTCAGAAGACTTGGTGCTGGCCAGAAGCACTGGCTCATAAGTAGAGTGGTTAGATTGGAAAATGGTCCAGTCATCTCCTGGTAAAAATCCCTGCTCCACCTGGTTGGGCTTAGAGATGTAGAGAAGAGGAGCGCTGGGATTGATGCGATAGTCCCTGAGTCCAAGATGCGAGTGTAGAAAGAGGGGGAAACCTTTCAGCTGTGCACTAAGCAGGGAGTTTTCATTTGCTTTGTAGAAGCCAATAATACCCACTCCATATTCGGTACAGTACTTGTCTAGTAAGTCACGGTTCCAGGCATCCAGATTGACGTATTTCAAAACATTTTCGTAGATTATGAGCGTGTAGCGTCCGCGGTTATGCTCCGTTAGCGTGGGCAAGTCACCTTTACCAGGTGCAATCTCTGTCTGGTAGTGGAAGCGGCTGGACTCCAATATGGCTACAATCTCCTGGCCAAGCTGAGAGTAGATGCTCTCCACAAACACTAGCACCACAGGCTCCGTCTTGGAATTATCCATCGTCTTTACCTGCCGCAATCTGCCTTGCTGCAGAGGCAGGAAAAGTGGTGCTCTTTCTGCAGCCCGTCCTCCATCTGTAGCCCCAGTGCTGGCACCTGCTGACATTCCTCCACCACAGTCACTGAATGGCAACGGTGGGGCCTCCTTGATTTTGGGACTGTTCGAGACATAGTATGCGAGGAAGGCCATTGACAGTAAGCAGAAGATGATAAGAGCCAGAATGAGGCGATGAAGCTCCAGCTGGCGGACTCCTCGCATCAGTTTCCACACACCCAAGACTGCACCTACCATGGTGTTGTAGCAAGGAGGTGGAAATTGACAGCAAGCGGTGAACAGAAAGAAGCAGACGGGATACAGCAGCGGAGGCAGGATAGGAAGAGGGGAAGGTTAGGGAGCTAGCTTGAGTTTTAGTTACAGGCACTAAGCTGTGCTGAGAATTAGCCATTTACTTTAGGTTACCATGGCCAGCGTTATCCATTACCTACTCTACAATTATATATCAGCTGGAGTGAAGCACTCTTTCAGATGACTGGATAGACGATATGGGAATAGATACTTTGTAAATTGATGGAATGAAAAGGATTAAATGATCTATGGGGATTACTGTGCGTTCGCTGGTTAAAATAACTCTTCACTTTGCTGCCAAGTTAGTTAGTTTCCCAAAATCAAGTTCAATGTTGAGGTTAAAGTGATTGCTGAAATATCAGTCCTCCTTTTCAAGCAGCTGTCCAGGTCACTCCTCCTGTAGAAATGATCTTCTTTGGAGCACGCTGCACCTTTTGTAGCCCTTCAGCAGCAGGTGTGTATGAGCTGGTGGTCTGTCCTTTGGGGCTGAACCCCTTCAGGTCTCCTACCTTGGACATCCCGGAAGAAGGCCCCTAGAGGACGAGACATCAGGTTTTGTTAAAAGAATTTGGAACAGTGTGTGTGCCACAAAACAGATCTAACAATAGACCTACAAGAAACAACAAGAGAAGAAAATGATACTTTGCCCAACAGTTTTATGGAACAGCTTTAAAAGATAACTATTATACAGTCTAAGAATCTGAATTTTTCTGATCATCTACATTTACCTGTTCCACTGCATAACACCATTTTAATATATAATTCTCACGACCTGACGCTCATTTTTCTATGCATCTGCACTCATTAATTACTAAGTGGGTTAATACTCAGTTGTCAAAATAAATCTTAACATCGTCTTGAGTCCCTCGCTGACCCAGCCTACCCTACTAACTACTCTATCAGGCATTTTCTCTCCTGTAAAATCTACTGATAATTAAGGCTTTTTTTTTGGAACTGCAGCCGCCACAATAAGACAAAGGACTCCCACATGCGACACTGCGGAAAACTCAAACGCAAACAGTTGGACTTTCCAATCCAAGAAAATGCCTCCATGATAATCACATTTAACATTGTTAAATTAAAATGCTCCCACATGCGACACTGCGGAAAACTCGGCAAACATTTGGACTTTCCAATCCAAGAAATTGCCTCCATGATAATCACATTTAACACTGTTAAATTAAAATTATTAAATCCTTGTGTTGTTGAATCGGCACCTCAGTCACTCAGTCGGCTAGTAGAAGGGGCTCTGTTGAGCAAGCACCAGATTTCCTACCCTGGGCAACTTTTGAAAAAAATGGAGGCTGTTGCTCTTTAGGGGTGGACAGAAACATCAATTCATCAATGCACTGAATTTTTGCCCCCCCAATTCAATATTGATTTAGCATTGTTCAGAACTGATTCATGCCCTTAGTTAAAATTGTAAAGTTTATACAAGAGTTGCTGTGCCTAAACAAGTACGTACAATATTGTGCTCATGCTTTATTTTCAGATGTTTTGTTACTTTTGTTGCTATACCATGGCCGCTCACATGGGCATGCGACTTAATAATTAAGAATCATTTGTGGATTTCTACTTGATACTGAATCAATATCAAAGCATTCGATATCGACTTGAATACATATCAAACCAAATTGTAACCTTAAGAATCAAAAATTCAAACAAATGCTTACATTCCTGACATAAAATGCATTAAAACGTAATAAAAAGCTACACAAATTAAGGAATTACCAACTGACATTAATCATGAGAAATCACTTCAGTAATCTAAATCAAGAGACGGTCAGTATTCACACTGCGGTGGTGGCTATGGAGAATGAACGTGTGTGTGATCAGAGCAAAAATCAGAGTGCACTTTAAAACTGGTGTGCGACAGAGGACACGTACCGAGGGTGCAGTCTTTGTAAGATCTGAAGGAAGGATTGCGTTCATGCATGCTCAGGAATGTGGCCTGCGTGTACCCAAACCCAGTTCCGAATGAGGTTGTAGTCGTCAAATCATTCCTGGACACATTTTGTCCTTGACTTTGTCAGGACTTAGTGCTCGGTC